AAGTGGAAGTACAATTGTAACAAAACACAAAGTGGAGTACAATTGTATAAAACTCAAAGTGGAGTATAATTGTACAAAACACAAAGTGGAGTATAATTGTAACAAAACACAAAGTGGAGTACAATTGTATCAAAACACAAAGTGGAGTACATTTGTAACAAAACACAAAGTGGAGTACAATTGTATCAAAACACAAAGTGGAGTACAATTGTAACAAAACTCAAAGTGGAGTATAATTGTAACAAAACACAAAGTGGAGTACAATTGTAACAAAACGCAAAGTGGAGTACAATTGTAACAAAACACAAAGTGGAGTACAATTGTAACAAAACACAAAGTGGAGTACAATTGTCTATTATTCTTGAATATTTGATCAAGCATTCAAATTTCTCTTTTGTTTGTCTTAAGTTAAACACAAAGCTACACAATGGGCTGCCTGTACTCTGCCCAACACGGGTATCGAAACCTGATTTCTTTCGTTGTAAGTCCGTAGGTATTCCGCTGTGCCAGTGGAGGGCTTTATCTTTTGAATTGAGGAAACTTTATATACAACGGACGTTTAGTATTAGCAATTTATGTTACTGTGTATGTGTTTCATTGTATTTTATTGTAATTTGGTCTTTAAAAAAATCATAGAAACAGATTTAACAAAACATGAAAAATATTGTGATTATTGTTATTATTCAACAGATAATAATAGAAAACGCTGTTAGTCATGAAAACGCTGGTGGTCTTGGGTGAATTGAAACATTTAATGTTTTATTTTGAACCTTTTTCTTTGTGATATTGTAACAAGTAATTGTAATCATTGCTCTTCTGGACGAATATGACTTGTATATATATATATATGTATATATTGTGATTTTTCTATATCAGATTTAAAAGTTTTAAGCGATTTTTCAAGATATTCAAATCAAAGATCAGTGAATTTATTTAAAACATATTTTATTGTAGCCATCTAAATAATCATGACATGTTCTAGTTCTTTAATAAATACCCGAATTGAAAAAAAAACATCATACATATTTCTAAAATGAATACTTTGTACATATATATAGATAATTGAAAATATTTGTATTTATGGCAATGTTGCTAATGCTGTATGCCGTCATCCTCAGTTTTGAATTATTGACTAGAGGAAAGGCAACTAGTGAGAACCAACACTTTAAGAAACTGATTGTCACTCTTATAATGCACTTATAAGCTGGAGTGCGTTGGAATATGTCTTCAAATCCGTTTGATTCGAACGTGGATCGCCAGCTTCAAAATTCAGAGCTCTAGCACAGAACCAAACCGCGCTGGAAGGTCGCTTGTTCTTTGTTTAGTTTTTTAGCCACACAATGGGCTAACTGAACCACTTTGGGGAATCGAATCCCGGATTTTGGCGATTAAAGTCCGTAAACTTACCACTGACCCACCGGAGAACAATTTATAACAGTTTGATAATTTAATTTCGACTATAGGGAATATTATACTATGTGATACTTTATGTTACATTCTAACCGCTAAAATATTTTGGAGTCTAATTATTACGAAAGCTTAATGTCAAACTAATACTTGAATGAAATAATTAGTTTGTAGATTTTAATTTCTTGTTTCAACAGTCAATACGTTAACACAATACTGAAAAGGCAAAAAAAGTATATCTTATTTGGGCAATATCATAATTTTGGAACATATTACAAACTCGTGGAACGTGCAAAAAATAATCTCTTATTTTTATAATGTCGTGATTTTGACATATATCACAAGTTTATATCCTCTTTCTTGAGATTATTCAAAACATCATGAGGTGATTTTTTGTCCTTTTCAGTTTTCCAGATATTTGACTTGGCCCTGTAACAAGATAAAATAAACATTATTACGACTTTTATTAATAGAAATCTAACACAATGTTTCAGTAGCCTATTAGTGTTATTAAGCTAAACATCCTATTCCTTTACGAAATGAAATTTGCATTCTTAACATTTCTTTACCTTTTTTCTTTCTACTTTAGTTTGTTTTGTCGTCGCTCTAGCAAATGGTACACGGTTAAGTTATATTTTGTTCTAAGATATATTCTGTAAATTTATAAGCATTTGTCATCAGAGCATAAAATTCTAATAATTCCTAAATTATGCTTCAAAAATGTAGTTGCCTAACAATTTTTTTCCCAAATATCTGAAGGTATTTATACTTATAGAAAATTAAATTAAGTAACATTGTCACAAAGTTAAATTGTTTTTAACAGCTGAAGTTTATCTTTTCATAAAAGATAAATATGTATAGTTAAGAATTTAATGAACGTCTTGTTTTTTATCAATTCAATCCATCGATTTCAAAATTAATTGATTCACAACAACAATAATTACTAAAGTTCATTATCCTAATAAGAAAAATAACAACATTCTTTGCTCAGCCAAAACATACCCTGGTGTTTGACAGAATCGGCATGCAATATAAATATAAACATGAGTTGTTGTTTTTCTTAGGTGATTTTAAGCTAAAAAGTATCTTTGAATGTTTTATAGACGAAACGCAAAGCCTACGATTTACCAGATGGCGTTAAATTGCTCTTAGGAAAAGTGGACACTTCGTTTGTTTGTTCGAATGATGGTTACTATGCTGATGTCGGAAATAAGTGCAAGATTTTTCATGTCTGCGAAACTGTACGTTATCCTAATGGACAACAGGAAATTAAACAATCGAGCTTCATGTGTGGCAACCAGACCGTTTTCAACCAGGCGTCGTTCACGTGCGCTTTTCCTGAAGAGTCCATACTGTGCAAAAATGCACCAGATTTTTTCTATCTAAACAACAAACTTGGCCAAGTAAATGTTCCATTCTTAGATGAAGATGACATCCGACGTTCTAAGCCTTTAATTCCGAGCTTATCGTTTAAGCCACAGCCCCAAGTATTTCGTTCTGTCGGAAGAAGGGGATAGAGATATTTACATAAACACAAAAGTAGAAGCTTAATGACGGCAGTTAATAGTATCATAGTTGTATTAATATCCAATGCAGAATTCTTTATCAATTACAAATCTACATGCTATATATGCGGAATGTATGTTGATAAATGTGCTTCCGCTTACATATTCTTTCATGAATGGCAGTATGTTTCTTAAGATACCATTTATTGAATTACATTTATATATTTATCTTCTAGTATGCTTTAAACTAGATCTTATGTTACTTGAACCTATTAGGTGAATACAAATTATGTTGGCCATATTTGATGTCATTACGTGTACAATCATGTTGTAAATAAATGGCATTTTCTTTGCGTTTGCTAATAAATATTTTGCATTTAGACTCAGTTTTCGTATTTACTGCATTTTTATACATTATTTCCACGATTTAAAATTTATTTATAACATCATTAGTCAGCTTTTAGAGTGATATTCTTGTCTATTTTTTCTACACCAACTTCCAGTATAAATAGTTAATTTGTTTGCATTAGTATTTCGGAAACTGATTAAATGTCCCCGTGTTTTCACCCACACAACAGTTACAATAGCAACTATTATGATTAATTATTATCAACCAAGTTTCATAAACAAAAATTTCACTAACTTACAAATAGCCTAAAATCGTTTTCCTAGTTCAGAGTCTCCTTGATATACAGCGAGATAACTTGAAGTCGATGTACGTACAATTGTCGGGAAGCTAGCTAGCTTTGTCAGGCACTGAATTGTTGGACGGTCGAAATAAGATAATATTTTCATAAAACCACTAATGTCTGATGAGAAACCAGTAATATTTTTGGAAAGATACTAGCGTTTGATGAGAATTCACTGACGTTCGAAATTTATAACTGTTCCTGGTCAAATGTCGTATATTTTACGGTTGGTAAGGGTTAGCAAAATCACGGCTTACAGCATACACAATTATAACAGTTTCCTAACAAACTATATCTATCTCTTCTTTGGCCTTGGTCTTTTTATATGAGTGGGCAATGTTTTCTCGAACATTCGGCCAATACTGAACAATTTTTAACCAGTTACGGAAGTAGATATATTGTTGATTCTTGTGTTCACGATTATTCTACAACCTTGGAGAATTGGCGGGAGTTTTGCCATATGCAACTAACGCAGTAAGCTAGACACGCCCTAAAATATAAACTTATTCGAAACAAACGTTGACATTAAAATAAATATATAACAAATTCGTTATACACAACACATATCTGATACTACAAGTCACGCATATTTCTAAATACAAATTCATTCCAAACAACGTTTTTATTAAGACTCAATACATAATAGTAAATTCGTTACAACTCCCTCCTTAGAGAATTAAAAATTGGCTTTAGACAATTTTTAATTAAGTCATTATATATATATATAGTCGGATGTTGGTGTAC